AAAAGTTTGAGCGCATAATAATATTGGAAAATCACATCTATTGGGCCAATCGCAACGCCGGAGCGTTCGATATACCCAATGGTGCAACAGGTCGATTTAATCTGACCTTCACGGCCCCTTTTCTCACTTGGCTATTTTTAGTAATAGCTCGACTTCAGCACCACTTGGCAGCACGTTTTTGCAATAGTATTGCATACATATTTAAAACATTAGCCAAATCGGATCATAAATAAGATTTTTAGTAATAACTCAACTACAGCGCCAACTGTCGGATTAAATTGTGAAACTAAACCATCCAGAGACCCACTCAAATACACAAAAAGTTTCGTTAAAATCCGTACAACCATTTAGGAGGATTTCACTCACAAACACACCTACAGAAGAATAAAAAAATTCATTCAAAGATAGCTAAAGGTCGGTACGTTTGTAGGCCTCACACCCCTTTTCAAATAGCCCAAATTTTCTCCATGAGTATGGGCTTGATTTCAACTATATACATATCTCCATACGAAGTTCCAGTACTGTACCATGAATACTTTCAGAGATATGCAGTATAAAAATTCGATTTATATGGGAGGTGCCACGCCCCCCTTTCCAACAGCTGCCCTCTTTCTTCATGAGTATGCGATTGATTTCGTATATCTCCATACCAAGTTCCAGAACTCTACCATGAACACTTCCAAAGATAGGCAGTATGAAAAATTCGGTTTGTATGGAAGATGCCACGCCCCCTTTTCCAATAGTTCCAATTTTTCTCTAAGAGTATGCGATTTATTTCGTACATCTCCATACAAAACTCTAGAACTCTACCAAAAAATTTCCAGAGATAAGCAGTATGAAAAATTCGGTTTGTATGGGAGATGTCACACCCCTTTTTACAATAGCTAAAATTTTTCTCCAAGGGTATGCGATTGATTTCGTATATCTCCATACCAATTTCCAGAACTCTACCATGCACACTTTCAGAGATATGTAGCATGAGAAATTCGGTTTGTATGGGAAGTGCCACGCCCCCTTTACATATAGATTTTTTTTAGCCTAAAACCTCCTTGGGTCACGTGCGGCAGGTGGCAGTGATATTTATTATATATTATAATTATATTTCGACAGTATCCGTTGCTTCTGATTGGCGCAAAAAAATCTTCGCCCCTTGATATGGTCGTTGCTCAAAGCTATTTATATTCGAAATTGCATGAAAATTGGAAAACAGGAATCTATAAGCTTATCCAGGCAAAAAGCTACCTACGTACCGAATTTTAAGCAAATCGGACCATAAATACGATTTCTTCGAACAGATCGGTCCCTGGTCCACTTCTCGGACAAAATGGATCATATATGCTAATATATGCTAAAAAGCTACCTACGTACCGAATTTTAAGCAAATCGGACCGTAAANTTTCGAATAGATCGGTCCCCGGTCCAATTCTTAGAAAAAATTGATCATATATGCTAATATATGCTAAAAAGCTACCTACGTACCGAATTTTAAGTAAATCGGACCGTAAATACGATTTTTGCGAATAGATCGGTCCCTGGTCCACTTCTCGGAAAAAATGGATCATATGTATATGCTAATATATGCTAAAAAGCTACCTACGTACCGAATTTTAAGTAAATCGGACCGTAAATACGATTTTTGCGAATAGATCGGTCCCTGGTCCACTTCTCGGAAAAAATGGATCATATGTATATGCTAATATATGCTAAAAAGCTACTTACGTACCTAATTTTAAGCAAATCGGACCACAATTAGATTTTTTCGAATAGACCGGTCCCTGGTCCACCTACCNCCTAAAATATGGTGGTTACCGAAAGCTATTTATATACAAAATTTCATGAAAATCGGACCAGCCGTTCGCGAGATTACCTGTTACAAAAAAAAAGGGACTTCTCTTTATATAATTAGTATAGATTTCGTATTTCATTACATTACCGTTATATGGGATGTGTACCAAGGCTAACAAATGTGCCAAGTTTGGGAGAAATCGATTAAGCGGTTACCAAGATATACACATGTAATCATAAGTGAGCGGCGCTACGACCATTTTCCAAAAATGTATAATATTTTTCAAATAGGTGGCAACCTATAGCATGTTATAAGCAAAATTGTACAAAATGTCAAATTAATTACTGTAATTAGGTATTTATGTCTCTAACGGAATTTTTTANCGCTAAAAAAATATTTTCGGCAGTAAACTTTCTTAAACCTCTTTAGTGTAATATCCATATTGTAATACATATTTCATTTATTTTATCAGTTTAATAATTCAATACAATTTTTCAAATAGGTGGCAACCCTTCTCAAACATGTTTTTGGCAGTAAACTTTCCTATACCTCTTTAGTTTGATACCCATATTGCAATATTTAATTTATCTTGTCAATTAAATCAATTTGGAGTATTCAAACAGGTGGGCAACCTTCCACAAAAATATTTTCGACTCTAAGAGCGCTCTGCTAACCACTGATGTATTTCTTTGATTCGATGCACTGAAAAGTACATCTAGATTTTTCGATACATCGAAGGGCATACATTGGTGCATAGGATTTTTCAGATATTATTTCACAGCATGTTATAAGCAAAATTGTACAAAATTTCAAATTAATTACTGTAATTAGGTATTTATGTCTCTAACGGAATTTTTTAGAGGGATTTCAATTTTTTGGTTAACTCGCTTCTCTTTTTTGCACACTTGGGAAGGTTCCGAAGGCGCAGCAGTTGAGCCCAACTGTTGCTAACAAAATCAGTGATCGTTATGCGTCTTCTGAACGGCTTGATACATTAGCTGTCAAATTCAACTTTCAGGGTCAGTTTATCAGTGCACGGCCGTGGTTTAAACCAAGTTTAAACGCCCGATCTGGCTGGTTTAAACTAAGATCAGCCAATCAAATGTCAGCCAGCTGTTCAATTTAAACTCAGTTTACTTAATCTATGTTTAAACTGGTACTGAAAAACTGGCCCTCAAAGGTACACTCCAACATGTTGTCTCAAATGATCAGAAATATATTACGATCATTTAACACGCAAATGTTCAGTTGATCAGAAGTACACAATAACGCGTTCAGAAGATGCAATCGAAACAGTTACTGCGCTGTTGCGCCTTCTGGACGTGCCCATTGAAAAACTTAAATGCGGTTTGATTAACTAGAGATGCCGGTTTCCAAAAAACATCGTTGCATCGATGCATCGATACTTCGACTATTTATACTTTGAGTGAAAAATTTTCGATGCATTTTCAATGCATCGATGTTTTTCCGACACTTCTACATTCACTTTGGCAAGCGCTTCGTAAATGCGGATTGAAAAGCAAGTTTTTCGGAACTGCAACAGTCAACCAAAAAATTTACGTCGAAGAGTGCTTGCAAAAATTACTTTTCCAATGGCAATGCTTTACAAGGGCGTTGCTTTATTTCAGCCTGACTTAGGAACTTCAGACTATAGGAAATTTGCGATAAAGTGGTATAAAGAACTATAGAGTCAATATTGAACAGAAAAATACTAGTCCTCCAGAACGACCCTGCGATCAGACCAATTGATAAATACTGGGCCATCATGAAAAGGAGATTGCTGCCGAAAAGCAAGTTACCGTAAACGAAGAGAGTATGCAAAAAAATAATTGGTAAAGGTGTCGATATGATGTGCAGCGTGTAATGACGGAAGTTACTTCCAAACTCTGAGCTTGTAAAATCATAAGAATGAAACTTTCAGAATAAGCATTATATTTGTGTTAGTGGTCAATAAATACGTATTTTGTACCAATATTTTAAAGATCAGTTTTTTCGTATACACTCCTTATGTATATGAAAAGTAGACATGGGTATTGCCAGATTTATCCCGTTTCCTAGACAATCTATTCCTGGTCTTCTACTAACGTATTTCTGAAGTTTTATTGAGGTACCTTAATTATTACTCCAGTTATTAGTTAATTAATTCCGCACCTCCATGCAAAATTTCGCACTATGCGGAGTTTTTTTAATTTTTGTGTTTTTAGGCCATATCATATAAAATGCAATGAAATATATTTTTTCTACACTTATAATGTAGGTACATAGGTATGTACGTATGTAAATATTTATGGCGAAAGTTTAGGGCCTTTTGTTCAATAGGGTCACATACATTATATGCATTATATGCATATGTATATGCATTACTTTTCATATCTTCCCCCTTATGCCAGAAACATGATTGTGTAAAAATTAAAATGTTGGGAAATCAAGCTTGAAAGTTTTTTTATGAGACTTAACTCTACCATACATTTATGTAATTGAATGGTTCTGGCATGAGGGGGACGATATAATAAATATAATGTTTATATTGGTTTGCTAGAATTGTAAATCAAAACTTATAGGGACAAATTCCATGGGGCCAGTTTTTGTAATTTTATGCATATGTATATGTATGTAAAAGCACATATATATGTACATATATATACATATATATCTATACACACATATGTATTTGTCTGCCACTCACCACATCCCAGGATAACTAAATGCGAAGCAATGCGACAGANATGTATGTAAAAGCACATATATATATACATATATATACATATATATCTATACACACATATGTATTTGGCTGCCACTCACCACATCCCAGGATAACTAAATGCGAAGCAATGCGACAGAAAATTTCTCGCGTTCCATATTGATAATCCATTTTTGATATTTTCGCAAGTCCACTTGAATTACTACCACTGTTCATAAAACCGGTGAACGTTAATGTTATGTTGTTGTTGTTGTTCTTATATTGAGTGCTGTTGGGTGATAGGGGTGTTGACTTTGTAGAAGTTGCATCTGCTATTGTCAAAGGTGCATTGTCGATATGAGGACCCGTACTTGTGGGCAACCCGACATGAAGCGTCGGTGATGATGGTTCACTGTTACTACTCAGACTCTCCAGTCGCTGCAGCAGTGCGGCGTCGGATATGCTCGTTGGTCTTAAACTATTCATTTTATCCTAATAACTTTCAATTAATGGGAAACAATTTTGTCACTATTCATGCGGTTAATAAGAAATTTATATTTATCCTGAGGGCATCAAATGTTATTCTCCGCCTTATTTAATATTTTAGAAAACATTGTGCATACTTACAACCGAAAGTAGAATCAGATGTTTTCCAGAAATGACTCACAGCCAAGATCACCTGATTTCAATTACTAGAGGGTTATGCTCAATATCTATAAAAACCGCAGAAAAGGCTCTATTATGTGTATGAGTTATTGACCAAAACGCTATAAAAAGTCAACTGGGGTGTTCACAGTTCGTTCCAAATTGTGTCTATTCATGATGAAATGTCAAAGCATACTGAGCATCTTTCTCTTTGACACCATGTCTGAAATCCCACGTGATCTGTCAAATACTAATGCATGAAAATCCTAACCTCAAAAAAATCACCCGTTATAAGCTTTTGTGCAATATGTTTATTTGTATATGCATATGAAGCACATTTAACTGATGAAAACATAAATTGTTTTTAATTTGTATGTTTACATAAATCTCATTGTAGTTTTATTTTAATTCTGAGTCATTTTGCAGTTTTTATACAGCTAAATAGCACAGCTATTACGTAATTCACGTAGATATATTAATATTTCGTTCAATATTTCGCTTAAAATTCCAGATTTTTTGCAAATACATTAGAATTTACAAAAGGAATTTCACTACTAATTGCCTACTTTGCGTACTCTTCTACTACCATTTTCGCAACAAGGGATTGCATTCTTGCCCTTTCTCTTTCCTTCGTAAATGCAACCTTTTGTAAGGGAGTGTCAAACTGCGGCTGTCAATAATTATCTAACTTTGTATTATTGAATCATGATCCAAGACGAAATGGCGCAACTTTAGGATGTCAACAAAACGAAATGACGAAAATTATCTCCTATTCCCTTTCGTTTTGACATCCTGATGTACGAAAAAGCAATAACAAAATACACGGAACTTTTACTTATATGCAATAGCCACCACCTTGTATGGATGCGCCTTGCCTTGTGTCAACAACAGCTCCTATTATTCATATTCGTATGCATATGTATACCCTGCATACCAGGCATTCAGAGTATTCTGAAAGGTTTCACAATTTTTTTTAAGAATTTTCTTTAAGAAATCGTACACAAATTTCTTTACTAGTTCTTGTCAGCCGTTTCAAATGTTTTTCTTTAAAGATTCCTAAAAGAATCGTAACAAATTTCCGATACTCTTAACGAGATTTGTGTGCAGGGTACATATATATGTAAACAAAGCAAAACAGGCGATAATTTGACATAAGCGTGCTCATAAGAAAAACTAAAAAATAGTAAAAATTTGTCAAAATGTCGTGTTTCTAATATTTTGGGCATATGTGTACATATGAATGTGTTTCGGATGTACAATGTAGAGGTATACGCCGCCGAGCTACGCCGCCGCCGTCGCCGTTTGTGATCATTCCGCCCCAGTACAAACGCGGCGGCAGCGTGGGTCGGCACTTTGAATACATCGCTCGAAGGAACTACTACTCCAAAATATATAAAAAAAATTTTCAATACCACAACAATATTCTTTTTTTACATATTACTACAACAACAAGAAAGTTATCACACACCAAAAACGTTAACGCTAATATCTCAGAAAGCAGTTTTAACAGAAAAGTCCTTCTTGCATCTAACTCCTCAATTATTGGAGATAAAATAAATTGATATTCTTGTGTAATTTTTTTCTTTAATAAAGAGTTGAATTTTTTTAAACAGATTTTAAATAAGTTATTTTATTCTGGGGTCCCCCCAGACCTATACAAGTACTAGGTGGCTGTGTGAAAATTATGTTAGCATTCACAAGTGGTGGTCAAACCCCAGGAAAGTTTTGTTCCATCGCATCGCACACACAGGGTTAAAGTTCCCCCTTCTTGGTGGAAATTAGTAGTATTTTTCATTACTTTTGGTTATCCATAGGAAAATTTGGCACTTATTATTTTAGTGGAAATTTTAACCATCTATAAGCTATTTTTTAAACAGTGGGTCAAAAGGCCTGTTCTCTGGGAGTTCATGGGTAAAACTGTAGGAAAATAGTAGACCACCCTTGTTTTCAATCTATAACCCGCAAAAAATCGTAAGAACTCCGTAATTAAATTACTCCAATAACTTCACTTTTAAATTTTTTTATTTCTTTAAATTTAAAAGTACATACGGATCTATAGAGAAAATAGCATGTATGTATGTGTATACCTCAGACCTTCTTCTGTTCGCCTATCCATTAGCGCCAGGAACTCTAAATTTTAATTCAAGTAGGAAGTAAGTTTTTTGAGTTATAACTACGGTGACCATTCGTATGATTTTGACGGGACAGTACCGATTTTGAGAAAGTTGTCTCGCTGATAATTTTTAAAAGTCAGGACGTATAAGTGTCCCGGATTTTCATATTTGTACCGCTTGAATCCCGATTTTTAGTGTTTTCTTTAATAATTAAATAGGAGTCTCCGTCTACTCTAGCCCAAAAACCATTTTTCGAACCTGTCAGCAGTTTCGTTATCTCAAAGAACATAAGTAGAATATATGGGAACCGCAAGGAAAGCTATTCATAAACATCCTTTTTTCTATGATCGTTGGTTATGTCTAGTAAACGATACAACATACATACGTGCATATCGCACACCGTCTTCGAAAGCTGGACCACCCACCCAGTGGGAAAATGTAAGGTATAGTAATCGAAAAAATAATCAGTAAAATAACCCGTTTCACATTCGAAAATGCGTTTTTTCCCCAGGGCGATGACCTAAGAAAAGTGGGGCGTTCAATTTTGCATTACCTAGTATCGAGAAATGAATGTGTTTTAATATGAAATTTTTGGAACTTTTTGAATACATTAGAATGCTGATTACATAGTTAGCAGTAATATTATCGAGAACGCATAAGAAATCCATTATATTTTCGCATGTATATCACTTTTCCGACTGGGTATGTACATATGTATGTATAAAGACGAAGCTTTTAACGCGCGGCCTTGTTGTAAGGATTTTTCTTTTGTTGGTGTAAAACGCATCCGGTACCCACGAATATTGCATCAAATTCTTTAGATTCCTTTTGTTTTCTTTGTTTTTCTTGCTTTACATGATTCAAATAGTGATCTTGCCAGACTGAATAATGGATCTGAAATAAACATAATATACTTTTTTATTAAAGGAAATGGCGCGGTAAAGATATCTATTAATTAGGAGTATTCTTTTATTTTTAACGACAGTAGTAGTCCGGGTTTTCATGAAATCTACGGAAAAGTTCAATATCCCAAATCGTACTACCCATTTAAAGAACTGCAACGGCATTGCTATTTCGTAAAAAGTGGCAGAAATGTTGCCATCATTGAAAAATTGAACTATACATGTCAAATTGTACAAATAAATAAGATTATAGTGGAGTAGAGTTTACGAAACTGTTACGGTAGATGCAAAGGCTTACTGAATCGTCATGTATCTATGTTATATTAGACTTCAAAGCCTCACTTAGCGACACCGGTCTTGCCAGCTATGTACAAGCTTAACAATGTGTGATTAACATTTTAATTCATCTGGGTATCGTTAGAGAGTATTCTAGCCTATTTCGTTATGTCTAACGATGTCTATTGTTTTCTAAAAGATCTGAGTAAGCAAAGTGTACATTAAAAGTCAGATGTGGTTGTGTCTCGAGAATCAATGATATGGCCTGCTACACCAGTTAAGCATTATTGAATGTGTATTTGGATACCCTGTCTCGGGAGTCTCACATGCATGCAGGAGTAGCGCGTTTGCAGGTTATATTCAATAAGATCAATCTGGAATTTCACAGAAATTAGATTCTGATATAAATATCAACCTAACCGTGGGATTCAGTAATTCAGTCTCATCTCAAGTCACTAAATTTGAGATTATCAATTAGTGGACTATTTTTGTGAATTGAGACGATTTGGGTATTCAGAAGGAGAGAGTCACAAAAAGTTCACCGAAAATGTGTGGTGAAAGTAAACACAGACAATCAGCTGACAGTTGTTGTATTTGAGTAAATCGCATGCGAGTGTCGTTGCTGCACGGTCCGCGTCAAGCCTCCTCCGAAATTTATTTATTATATTTTTATTTTTTTTACTAGTTTTATTTTTTTTGCAATCTTTAGATTGCGAATGTTTAAAAAACAAAATACTACATTTTTTTCAATAACATTTGTATGATATAAAGCATTTTGGTTTATTTCCTAATGAAATTCTTGTTGAAACAAATTTCTTCGCATTAATTTTCGCGTTTTTTTAACAAAATGGAAAGAAATAAGTTTTTCCCCCATACTTCTATTTTTGCGACCGGTCTTAGCCAGCTGACAAATTAGTGACTTATTTTTGAGACTAGAGACGTGAGACTAGAGACGTGAGACTAGAGACGTGAGACGTGAGCATGATAAAAACATAGCAAGGTATAACCGTTCTCTCAATTTGTCGGCCATGATTTTTTTTTGAAGTTTGCCAACATTTTAAAATCATATAAAAGTGAAAATAAAAAATTTAAATTGTTCGAAATTGTTGTTGCTTGAGATTGAAAATGAAAATGTGTGTGTGAGTTTGTGAGTAAATTTAAAAATTAAATTGTTTGGAAACGTCAAGAATCTTAAAAGTGACTCTCAGC